GAGGAGGAGGAGGAGGAGGAGGAGGAGGAGGAGGAGGAGGAAGAGAGCTTTAGGAAGGGGGCTGAGAATGTTAGGCGGGACAGACACGGGAGAGCAGAACCCGGGTTTGTGACCGTCGACTACTATGTCACTTTCTGTAACTCGTACTGTGTCTTGAAGTAAAACTCAGCGTATCAGTCACATTTGGACTTGTCAAACATTGTCTACGTCTACGTATCGTCCATCGGCATCGCACACGTCCCAATCGTCGACTCTGTACGTATTCATCGAATTAGTAAATTTATACAAAAAAGAGTTTTTTTTGTTATTTCTCAGAAACAAAGAGTTGGGACCTAAACCTTTAACCAAAAGTTGTTCATAATATGAACTAAAAAAGGGTCTCTGGAAATGTTTGAAATGTTTTAAGTTAAGAAATAAGTTGAAAAGATGTACGAAAATTGTAGTGATTTTCAAAACGCAACAATTTCGTAAACAAAAAGCCATAAATTATAAAATATAATATTTTCTTTAAATTCCAGGGACTCTTTTTCCCTTTGATATGTTAGCATTGAAACGTAACAAACAAAATTGGAATCGGAGTTGTGAATTTCTAGAAATAGCGTTTGAAAAATCAGCAACTTCAGCATTTCTAACAATGGGGATTTGAGCACTTTTCTAAATTTTCCATGATTGGACGCCTGTGTTAGGAATTGACTAATGCGGGGATTCGGAACTGTTTGGGAGGCTACATACATAATTTCTACGTATACATAGCTGTCCATGGGTGCGATCTATCAAATAAAGTGGGTATTAAAATTGCGACCGAAAAGCACCTCGCAACTATACCGGTATCCATCGACAACACCGCATATCCACTGCTACAGTATATTTAGCATACCTGAGCAGTATTGCTACCGTAACATTATATGATCATGTATAAACATCATACTATCAGGAGTGAATAATAACAGATTTTAATATTAGAATAATAATAGATCTATTATTATCCACTCCTGCTACTATCATACCATCATATAATCATATCATTTGAGACGGCCATGTGGAAGATAGGTCCGCGCCAATTTATTGTGTCTGTACCTAACATGTTTTACCGTCGTTAAATAAAGTGTTTACTTACTTACTTACTACATATATCATATATCAACCACATCATCATATTATCATCATCGAATAGTATAAATATATTCCATTGGGTTCACATTCACGCTATAAGACAACGTTAACATCCATCATGTACGTAGTGACACGCGATATACACACATACCGTCACAGTAGACAATGTTAGCGAGCTTGATGTCGTGGAAGGATAGGCCGTCACGTTGACCTATTCGCTGACGCGTCAGGTCACGGTCAATGTGCGCGTTGATTGGCATCTCCCCGTTCTTGCTCAAGTCCTGCAACACAGACACACACAGTGACACACACACGCACGCACGCACGCACGCACACACACACACGCACACACACACACGCGCTCACACACGCACGCACACACGCACGCACGCACACACACACACACACACACACACACACACACACACACACACA